ATTATTCCTTGTTCAGTCAAATCTTTCAATACGTCATCCCCCTGAATTTATTATCCACACTGCAATGCAGTAAGATAAGCGTTCGCATAGCTGCAATTTTGCACACGATAGATCTACCCCTCCTCTTCACCCAGATTTCAGGTTTTTTTTTTTTTTTTTTTCTTATTCGATCACGATAATCGATCGAGAATTGGCGACAGACGGGCTGGTCTAGCGATTTTCCAGCTGGCAGCAATCCCGAACGGTTTAAGCTTAAGTTCTGTCCAGGTCAAGATCGGTCAACCTTATATACGGATTCGCAAATAAGTCAGGGGGAGAAATTGTAGGAAGAAATTCCAATTAAATTGCATTAAAGTAGCATTCGACAATATATTTTCCTTGCGCAGAATTATTCGTTTAATCGAATTAGGGGGATATTCAATAAATTTAAATCTAGAACGAGTTGAGTTTAATAATATAAATAATATCGTTCAAAAGATCTGTTGTTTGAAATGAAAAATATTGCTAATTGTTGAGAATTATAAATAAATAAAGTATTTTATTTAATTGTTAATTTTATTATTGTTAAATTTTAAAATATTATTGACACGTGTATGAAATCCATATGGAAAATTTCTCTCTGAATTATGAATCGGTTTAACAGGAGGATAGTCGGTCAACGTTTTCTTTATAGCTTCTTCTCCCGTTACCAGTAAATCAGCGACGCGAAACAAACAACTGGTGGAAAGAAAGAAGCGGGACGTAGGTGCAAAGATACTTCTTCTGGTTACGTGTGCCTGTGCTTACGTAAGATCTGAAGAAGATATATTGGAAGAAAAAAGAATCTAGATGCACGATACCAGATGATCCTTTTGGCGTTTTGAATTATACATAGGCCAGGTTTCTAGGAGAAATTACGTAATTGGATCATTAACCCCTTAAGTCACGCGTATGTAGAGAAATAGAAGGCTTTTTTCTGGCTTCTCTCAATTTCTAGAATTAAAAATAGGAAAATAGGGAATATATATCGATCAATCATTCGCGCACAACAACTTTAATCGAAATTTGTAAACGTGATTCCAGAACACAAATGTTAAAAAATAGTCAAAATCTGGATAAAATAATTAATAAAAGTGTTATTTCGATAGATCTGGAGAAATTACGAGAGATACAATTATTAGCCTAAAATATACGATGATAAAATAACTTAAAAAAAAAAGTAATTTACGTATAATATAAAATTTTAAAAGAATCATTCTTAACTCCTCAACGAGAACAAACTTCCAATCATCCCACTGCGATCTAGTCCTCGATCAAAAAAGAAATTAATACCATGGAAAAAAAAAAATATATTAAAAAAATATATTAAAAAAAATATATTAAAATATAAAATATATTAAAATATAAAAAATATATTAAAATATAAAAAAAAAAATATATTAAAAATTTCGTATCGATCGAAAGAAGCTAATGGCATGGGAAAAAAAATTGATGAATTCTTGAAATTCTCGCACGGGATTGAAGCTCGCCACGTAAACCTTCTAAACACCGTGCTTTTTTTTTTTTTTTAAACGATCTCGTTCCATGAAACAGGTTCGAAAGATGACGGAGCGAAGAAGCTCTCCCGCGACAGGGATGGGCTTGTTTATCACTCGAGGACAAAGGCTGTACTGTATCGTGGGGCTTGTATAGAGCAACCATTATAACGGGGGGGGATATCGATGGGAAAGCACGGACGAGAAGAGCTCGTCACCGGGACCAGGGCGGATAAGCATCGATCTCGAAGACACGTATCAGATTGGAACGATAACCGAGTTCCTCCGGTGTCGTGACTTTGCACCCCCCTTCATTGTTTCAGATTTACAGGTGCAAACAGGATTGGAGGAGAAAGAGGAGGATACTGTTGGACGATCGAATTGTTTCTGGATTTTTTTTTTTTTTTGGCTTTGGAGATTATTGGAAGAATCGTAGCTTGTAATTGGAAAGCTCTGAAAAGTTTAGTAAAGTCAGTTTTCTAAAAAAAATATTGAGGAAAAAAGATTCGTCTATATCATATATTGGTAAATTAATAATTCAACTCGAAATATAATATTCTTCGATCGATTCGAGTTGCAGAACTGAATTTAAAAACTTCCACTGCCTTGACTTACAAGTGTTATATCGAACAATAAAGTTTGAAAACACGATATCAAAAGTTTACGATAGGTGAAGTTTCGAGGCTTAGATATCGACCATTTTGAAAAATATCCATTATCCTATCTTTGTTTCAAAGTGCTTCTTAGACAGACGAAGAATCTGCTCGAATAATAATAACAGAATTTTACTGACAGACAACTGAGAACCATCGTCATAAAGAAATTCTCATAGAATAACAAAAAGATTCTATTTTGATTATTTCATTTTCTCTTAATTCATGGCGAAGATATCCTTAAACCAAAAATCTCAAATATCGAAAGGATTGGAGTTGAAATTCATTTTACAAAGATTCTATTGAACTCTATCGATATCTCCTCGAGAGGATTTATCATAAAAGATCACGTTTTTTTTTATGAAATGTTCACATAGCAAGGCGAAAAATCATGGCGGCAATTAAGCAAGAACTGGTCGGAGGTGACATCCGTGTAATTACACTCAAGTACTGCGTACACGTCAATTACTCGAGGGCGTTGACCATTAAACGAAGCTCAATTGCAGAAATCTTTCGTTCAAGTGTTTCTCAAACTTCTCAAACTTTCTCCTGAAAATCGTAACTTGCGTTCAGATATCGCGTCGACGCGAGTAATCTCAATTAAAAAAAGTTTCTTATTCAAAACTTCGTTCGTATTTTGACTTGACTTGTTGTTATCGATTCAAAAATAACTTCGATCGAATCAAAATTTGAGAATAATAACTTCTTGGAAGAGAAGAAAAAAAAAAAAAAAAAAGAAAATAATGTTACAGATTTCTCGACAAAAATAATATATTCTTCGAAGAAAGAAAGAGAAGAAAAGAAGCGAGCATTCCGTGCTTCTCTCAAGAATTTTGAAAACCTCGCAAAGTTTCGTATTGAATTAAAAATTAAATTTCGATCTATTTCTAGTAAAAAATGGAATATTTTCCACAGAGGAAAGAGTATGAGTGTAATCAGCCGGTTCTAAATGTTTTCTAAAGCACCTAAGGCTTCGAACAGAGACGTGTACACGGTATAGAGTAACAGTCACGCTTTCTAACTAAGCCCGACTTGTGTTCCGCTCTGTTCCTCTATTTTCGGTGTCGTCTCGACTTTTTGACACGTAAAGACGTGTTTTATTTGGAAGAAGATCTAGTTCCAGAGAGGGATAAAAAGAGATCTCGATACGGAATACTTCACAAGTATGTAGAATTCATTTCTTTCGTTCAATTTTTCAAAGATCTTGCAAACATCGAGACGAGAAAAATTTAATTACAATCGTGTCGTACAATGGGATAATATAAAGAAGAAAAGGAAAAAATAATATATTATTTATTCGTTCGATGACTGATAATGCAAATTAATTTTTTAGCAGGTTTTTTTTTCCTCCCCCTCAATAGATTACATTGCTTAGCACGATCTATAACTTATGGTTGTGAGAGTAAAAGCAAACTGAATATACGCGTGTACAAATTGATTCGAAACAAGCATGCGCCTGGCCTCAAAACTTTTCGAACGAAGAAACTATATAATCAATGTTATTCCAAGAAGAATAATTTTCAAGACACAGAGTCATCATCATAATCATTCTGATCAAATTTTCTAAAGTGAAATCCCTGTATCATAAAAATTGAAAACGTCAGAATAACTTATAACGTACGTTTTGCAGATTTTATTAGATTTTTAAATGAAGGAGTATATTTAAAAAGTGTATCCAATTGATCGACAAAATTCGACCTCGTTCTAATTTCTCATTAATTATGCGAAGTTGTACTAGAAATAAACGATTTCAAAATATCTCTGATGGAATGGAATGGAAAAATTAATGATGAACGAGATATATTAATTAATATCGAAGTTGAGGATGAAGCGAGCAATGAAGTCGAAAGATCGTTCGAGAATCATGTTCGCCGGTTTCATCGTGCGTGCAATTAGAAAATTCCTCCGAAAGGATGTGCCATTTCCTGGGAAGCTCTCCCGACAATTTTTATCACGGAAGCCGGTTAACTAATTCCACAGATAAAACACTTTGCTCTGGAATACCGGTGTGTAACAGTTGTTTATCCTCTGTCTACGAAAACAACAGCAAGTTTTACAGTGGAACAGGAAACGTTGAACGGAAAGATCGTTTTGACGCAAATTTTCTTAGGAGAAGAGAAATTGTATTCGTTTCGAGATGAAAGATGAAGTTTTCCCCTAATGGATCGAAGAAAGAAAGAAAAAAAAAAGTTTCGGGCGGACAAGGAAACGGATAAAAAGAAGATTATCGTCGGCATTGAACTTGGAATTTTCAGGACGTTGTTTCGACGATGGCGACGAGAGCGCTGCAGCACAGTTTCCAAAGCTGCGTCAAGATTCAAGGACTGCTTCGTGAGAATGCAGATCGATCGCGCCAGTCACGGTTCACGGTGGATTCTACCGCATCCTGTCTCCACAAGCACCCAGAAAATCCTTATCAACTTTCATCCCTAGTAAAATTGAAAAATACGATGAAATTTTTCCTCCCACTTTCACAATCCTCCCTCCTTCCATCCTCGAGAATTTGATAAATATAAATATTTAAATAAAGATCGAATCTTATTAAAATTCTAAAATATCTATTTTTCCTAATATTCTTTGACAAACTAACTGTCAAACTGACAGTTCTATTTCCACACAGATATAACAATCGTAACAACTGATCGAGTAATAAAAATACACCAATGAAATTTGAACCACGTAAAGAAAAAAGAAGAAAAAAAGAAAGAAAGAAAGAAAAAAATAAAAAGAATCCCCGAAAGGAAGCAAATTGGATATCCGACGAATTGAGTCGATAAGAGCCGCAGTGCGGTAAAGAGGCGGACAAGAGTATCGGTTCCGGGTCTACTCTTACCTTTTCTTTCCGTATCCAACATTGTCGAGCTCGACGTGTCTATAGGTCGCGTAAGTGGCCATCGTTCCTCTTTCCTCCGAAAAACTCCCCCGCGTCCACCCTCCGCTACGTCTTCCGCTCTTCCGCCGAGGTAGATAACTCGCGTCTGCGGTGCACACAGCCAGCAGCAAACAGAGACGGTTGTCGTCCTCGCCCTCTCGGTGTCGCGAGAGTTTCTCCCGATGTTGCGCAAAAGAGTTGGACGAAACGGAGATGAGAAACGGTGTTAAGGGAGGAAAGAAAAGGAAAGGAAAGGAAAGGAAAGAAAAGGAAAGGAAAAGAAAAGAAAAGAAAAGAAAAGAAAAAAAAAGGGAACGAAAGATCAATATCCAGACACGATGACAAAGACGACGACGAGCTTCCAGAAGCTGCAACTCTCGCAGAATCTGTGTGTGTCCTTGACTCGAGAGACGGAAGAGAGAAAAAGAAACTCTGCGAGCTCCGTCCCTCTTCCCTTTGTTTCCTGCTGTTTTTGTTGTTGTTTTTGTTGTTGTTGTTGTTGTTATTTTTTTTTTCTCAAAACGATCTTGAAACCGATTCTGAAGCCGGATAAGGTCACGAATAACAATAATAATAATAATAATAATATCGTTTATCGAGGCAGAGGTACAATCGTTGCCGCGTACAGCCGAGAAACTGGCAGCCCAATGAGGATCCAGCGGTATATAATGCCTCCTCCATCGGTGCTTCCCTCCTCTCTCTCTCTCTCTCTCCCGCTATTCCATCTCTCTCCCTCCCACCTTATCCGCCTCCCTCTCCCCGCTCCACCCTGTGTGCAAGCTCCCTTTCAGCCTGACTCTCCCCCTCTCCTTTTCTCCTTGTATATAATTCTCTCTATCCTCATCGCACACGTACGCGTCTCTCTCTCTCTCCCTTCCTCGCAAGCTCATCCAGTCCTCGATCGTCTCTCTCTCTCTCTCTTTCTCTCTCTCCCTCGCCCTATCCTCATCCTCGTCCAACTTCGTCGCTTCACGTTTGCGTTCACGTTTCACGCAGAAGCTGCACCACCGCGTGCATACATACACGACCACCAGAGAGTTTTCATCCAGCGCGGAACCACCATCAACCACCTCCATTCCATCATCGACGGCACCGGCAGCAGAGGCGAGGGATAAACCAGGCGCAGTATGGTTGTATGCACTTCCACCCCCGACGGCGGAAAGGCCGACGACGCCGACGCCGGCGTCGTGCATTCACCTCAATCAATACGCGCGACTGGAGGCGAGAGGAGGAGGAGGAGGAGGAGGAGGAGGAGGGGAGAGGCTGATGGAGAGGACACGCGCGAGGAGGAGGGAGAGGACGGTGGTGGTGATCGTCGGTTCCGTGTAGGGAATCGCTGCGTTGTCGCTGCATGTGCAGGCCGATGCACGTGCGCTGGACACGGACCGCGCACAGGAGATAATGAGCGCAGAGGGGTGGGGGAGAGAAAGGGACGGAGAGAGAGAGAGAGAGAGAGACAGAGAGAGAGAGAGTGGAGAACGCGGCGTCAAGGGCTGCGCCGATCGTTAGGGATGCCTTTCGACGCCGCCAGAGGCGGATGCGTTGGTGGATGCGTTGGTTGAAGCGAGTAGGAGCGAGTAAAACGCGGAGAGAGAGAGAGAGAGAGAGAGGAGGAGGAAGAGGGAAGGGGAGGGGATGACGCTGGATGCGAGAGTAGATATCGATAGGATGAGCGAGATAGAGAGAGGAGAGGTAATTAGGCGCGATTAAATGGAGAATTAAGTGGAAGAAGCGAAGACAAATGCGAATAGATGTGAGATCGAGACGGGAGCGGGAAAAAGAGATGGTTAGATGAAGATTGAATGCGAGGATGAACGAGTAGAGGTAACTGGAGAAAGAACGAAAAAAGTAACTAGATGCAAATAAGTGCAGATATGATTAGATGTATGAGTAGACACTGGTAGTAGATACGCGGTAATCTAGTACACGAGAAAAGGGTGATAGGGGGTTAATGGAGTAACAAGGAGTAATAAGATAGGAAACACTTTTGGCGTAATACGTATTCACCGACATTGAACTAATTAAATTCCAAGAAACAGAGTGGAAAATGAAGGCTTCTCTTTTATATATATATATTTTAAAGATAAAAAAAAAAAAAAAAGACACGTACATACCGATGCATAAGCTTGAAAAGAATTCACATTAAAAATGCATTTATGATGTCGCATCAAGGATGAATTCATCAAAGCGCGTATATTCCATCGAAACTTTCGTGAAATCTAACCTAAAAAATTTGCCGAACGTTTACTCATATTTACATCGATACTACTTATACAACTATCCAACTATCATAAACACTTTTCAAACCCAAATCAAATCCTCTATTTCCCGTTTCACGCTCTCCACTATTCATCGTAAAAATAATTTTGCGATTATTTCTGCACTAACATCGATCGAATGTAAAAGTTGTTGGCCGCATCAAGAATCGGTGTCCCATTTTCTCGAAATTCTTTCATCGATTCTACGTAAAATTAAAAAGCGACAAAGCTCGAAAGTTCTTCGTAGAGTTCTTCACCGTGTTCATCGCGATTTTACACCGTTGATAGTTATCACGTGTTATTCGCGTGTTTCTCGACGTGGCACGCGAGTATAGCGGGAAAAACACTGTCATTTCGCGAATTGTGCGCAGCACACATCGAAGTGAAAAACTTTACGGTGCGTGAACTTGATGATTAAATAAGAAAAATAACATTAGTTCGCGTGCCGGATAATTTAACCCTTTCACGGTCGCGTTCAATTTTTTTTTTTTTTTTTTCTCTCCATCGAACGTATTCATTTGATTTTTCATTAAAAGTAAAAATTGGATGAATGAAGTAATGATAATTTGTACAATTATATTACAGGTTGTAATTATACAGATTTTTATCTAAATAAGGTGAAATGTGTTTTTTTTAAGGGAAGAAAGTTGTTTGATCCGAGAGCATCATTGCAGTTATTAATAATGTTTACTCTTTGTGTGCGCTCTTTAGAGAAGAGAATAGGTGTGAATTAGGGGCTTGACCCTCGTCAACAAGCGACGGATAAAAAATTTCAAAGGTTTCGAAGGGAAGGGACATTGAAAAGGGTTGCAGGAAGACTGATTGGGGATGTTTTTCGACCGGTCTCGTGACGCTGTTCGAGTAATCGGCTGATTAAATTGCCGACCCCATCCCCTGCCGACTTCCTCCTCCACGACCGCCAGAGGCATCGAGTTACTGGAAACCGAGCTTAAGGGATGAACCGCGAGGGTTAATTTCGTCGACGCCTCTGAAGTGCGGACGGATCGATGTTTATTCGATGACGAATTCAGGAATATCGAAAGGAATGTGTTCTTCATGCTGGAAAAATAGATGAGTTTACGATGTTTCTCCAAACGATAAGGGATCAAGGGATAAGTTTATTTTTCTTGGGATCAATGGAAAGAAATATCGTGGATCATTTATCATCGTAGTTAATGTACTTTTGGAAAAATTCCAATCAAATTTAATTCGAGTTTTAAAGAATCTTAAAAAATCAGATCCTAATTTTTTTAAATTACGATTGAACTCTTCTGTTATCGATTTGTTTTATTGCTTGTCTTCCTCTGAGATAATAATAAAATCTAAAAATTGTCATGAGACATTCTACTCGATTCTAATATCATTCTCCAAGATTGCAGATAGAATATTCAGAATCGAATTTGCAAGATGTTTACGCTCTATGGATAGCAGGGGGAGTACACGTCTGAGTCAGCACCCTTTGTTCTCCGTATCTAGGACGACTACTCTAACGGAGGGTGAGAAAGATATCTGCATACACGTATACTTTCCCCGCTACATTTATTCCAAAATGTTCTAACGTTGTATTCACATACAGAGATCACCTCTCTCTCTCTGAAACACCACCATCTTCCTTGAATTATATATAATAAATGTCATCAATAAAAATTCCTACACCCTCCATAAAAACGGATCTATTCTACGCACAGTAACGATACAATAGTAAAATTTCATTTATTTGAATTTGTCAGGGGGTGAATAATTTATGCAAATCGAGCTCGTAAATTGCTAGATTTGTCGACATCTTAAGTCGAAATTCTTATTAAAAGGATTCTCTTCGAGTCCAACAATGAAATTCTATTTATTCTATCGCCTTTATTAACAATTATTTTATTATCTATTTGCAAAGATATAAAATTTAAATATCTCCAAGATTACCTACATACGAACATTCACGGTTACAGAATTGAATCCGCTCGCGATCGCAGTTGGATTTGATTTAATCGAAACCGGTTCCCGATAAATTCTACCGATTATTTCCACGGATAATTGGAGATCGACGTAAAGATTCTCGCGGATCGACGAGCCAAAGAAATATATATATATATATATATATATATGAAATATACGCTAATTGCCCGCGGATTTATGTAATAAAACAAGGACGGATCGTTGGACGATTATAAAAAGATACAGAATCTCTGAAAACATTTCGTCAAGGAGTATAATACTATACGTAGCGTGCGTTTAACAGGCCGGTACTACGATCGTTTGCGTGGCCAACCTTATTTCCGCTCCACGATAAAGAATACCAAGGCTAACTCTTTCATTCAATCCAACGAGCATTCGTTGGATCCTACCTACTGAACAGTACGGTTTCCCATTCTTCACGGTGTTTCTTCCACGCCTCATAATGGGAATCGCGTTATATCGCGTTCACGCGGGTTTTGCTATGGTAAATATAGCAGTGACTTTTCTTCTTTCTTTATTTTTCCCCCCCTCTCCTCGTTCTTTCTTTCTTTTTTCTTTTTTTCCCCGTCTCGCCATCTCTTTCTCGCGTTATCGCGAGAAGATTACCGGCCGATTTCACCCAGCGGTAAATACAGGGAGCAACTCTTTCCCTTCTTCTTTTCATCTTTAAGGTTTTTGTGAGAATTCGTGCGATTTTTTTATCCTTGCAATCCTCTCTTTTCTTCCTTTTCTTTTTTTTTTTTTTTTTTTTTTTTTTGATTGGAATTTTTGGTCCAGGTATCTCAGGTGGAGATACAGAACGATTCGTTCTGAAATGTTAAGCGAAACGTCACTGTACAGCGTTTCCTCTAGTTAACGAAATTATAAGTCTTTATTATAATAAATCTATATAATATCTAAATATCTATATAAAATCTATATAAAAATCTATATAATCTTTATTATAATAAGAAATAAGAATAACTTTATTTTGATGAATAATTGATGAATAAATTGTAAAGATCTTATAAAGAGATGGAAGAATAAAAACTTGTTATTTTAACTTGTATCTTTACCAAAAAATTGACCAAATAATAAATTTCTAAATCTCTTTTTCATTTCAAAAAATGAAATAACTCCCTAAAACCCTTTCACCGAAGCCAGCAAGAATAAAAATAATATTTTTTCCTCCGCTCGAAATTATCGAGAGAACGTAAACGTAAGGGGCGTAAATGTACACAAGCTTGAAACGCATAATAATCGGTATCCGATAGGCCGAGACTGAGAGGCACGGTCACAGCACACGAATTGCACGAGAGCACGTTCGTGTAATGGGAATGGCGAGCCGTGTTCTTAGTGAAACGGTACCGAAACGCGGTTATGCGCTCGGCTTCCGTTTCGAGCGCGTGTCTCGGCGCAGGGTTGAGTTTGAGGACGTTAAAACAAGCAGAAGGAAAAGCTAACCGCGCTAAAATACACCGAGCTAACATTAGAAGAACCTCTCGCTCGCTGG